TGCACAAAGATATGGGGTTAAGAATTTATATTGTACACTGCGCACTGTAAACTAATGCGTAAAGTAAATATTGCCCATTTATTCACAATTGTATGCTGGAAAGGCTTGTTTTTTTCATTCTATGGAAAACTAGCTGCTAATTAAAAAATAAGTGTCAATTTACTCATCGAAAAAGACGCAGATGTACGAAGATATGGGGTTAAGAATTTATTTGTACACTACGCACTGTAAACTAATGCGTAAAGTAAATATTGCCCATATTTTCACAATTGTATGCTGGAAAGACTTGTTTTTTCGTTCTATAAAAAACTAGCTGCTATTTAAAAAATAAATGTCAACTTACTCATCGAAAAAGACGCAGATGTACAAAGATATGGGGTTAAGAATTTATAGTGTTCACTACGCAATGTAAACTAATGCGTAAAGTAAATATTGCCCATTTGTTCACAATTCAATTGCTACTTTTCAAAAACAAAAAAAAATACTGTATAAAGTACCATGTACATTTCCCAATCGTGAATATTATATCTTTACAATACACATAATATAGTTAAAGCGCGGTTTTTTCTAATTAATTTGTCCTTCCATATAATATTCGGTCATTATATGTTAAATGCCTGGAATATAAGATTTGCCAGCATTTGCATCTACTTCTTTATATTCTCCTAGCGTGGCAGTTGCATATAAACAAAACAATTTGCATGGTTTTTAAACTGGCTTTGGCGTTACTTTTTGCTAAACTTAAAAGTTATTTACCGAGCTGGTAATAATAAATCAACACAGTTATTGCCGACATTACATTGTAATGTTTCCCGGTTCCCTGAATCCAGTTTCCTGAAATAAATCGAATTCATATCATAGCCATAACCGTTACAATTAGTGCGGCGAAAAATGCATATGTTTTGAATACATAGGATATAGTGAACCGCGATGTTTGTATATTTTTCTGCTGGTTTGCGTGAAATACTAACTTTACCACGCTTTACAGCAAGTAAAATTTAACTTTCTTTAGTGCGCAAATGCGCACTAATGCGGAAATTATATTGTTTAAGCACTGGTGCGTAAAATGAAGTACTTTACGCATTAGAGCGTAAAACAGGCTTTAAGAACTCGCATCAATGGGGCTAAGTTATGTGGAGCACCTTGTAGATGAATACAGTTTCCAGTGCACTTATTATCATCACTGTTATTGTTTTTTCTCCTTGACCTACTATAATTCTAACTTAAGAATGATATAGTTTGGAATTGGAGAGTTATTTTTGATATATAAGTGCGTTTCCTAAAACAAAAATAAAATGTTTAGACATAGAAGCGGCTGTAGAAGAAATGTGAGGAAACCGGGTTAATAATAATTGATTTTTTATTAGCCAATCAAATATAAATTATGTTTGGATGTTTGGACTGTGAATTGAGGCCCATCAATGACATGTCAGTGTACGCTTGATGTGAAGAGGTTGTAATGAATTACTTTAACCTTAATAGACTGGGGTTAAATAGGTATAGTATTTTTATCAGTCTATATGTTGAAATTTATTTCGTATACCCAAATATTAAAACATTCCTATACAGGGCGATTAAAAATAGTGTAACAAAATTTGACAGTTGGTACTGTAAAAAATCATATGCTTAAACTTAAAGTATTAGTTCAAATAGTAAAAAATATAAGAGGATTTTTTCAAAGACAACTTTTGATAAGTTTCAATTCTAGAAAAAATTGTCTGCCCGTTTACATATACTAAAATGAAACAGTACTTTGCATTTACATTGACAGTTCTGACAGGTTTTATTATGTCACTAAGTTGACAGTGCCAACAACGGACAATAGTAGTGACTGCTCGCTTGAGTCTACAAACACTGGATTTGATGGCAACGAAAAATACAGATTTCAAAGTAAGATCATATGAAGAGTGGAAAACCCTGTATAAACATTTTTGTTAATTTCTAATTATAATAATGCTTTAAGTACTAAATTTTAAAATAAAACTTATAATTTGCATGTTCCCGAAACCGCAAAAGGTAATTTCATCCTGAGCTGTCATTTAATTAATTACCACCTTTTGTCTTGGGAATTCGGAAGTTTTTAATTACGATATAAATAGGCATTATGGCACGTTATTTGAGCTGTCTGAAATTGGGAAAATAAGTGAAATACCTCAAGGACTTAATTAAGTTTAGCCTGAATAATAATTACACTGCAAAAATATTTCACTCAAATATCATTCAACAATAGATCAATTTCTGTCCACACCCGATCGAGTGAATTTTTAACTCTATTAGTAGTATGAGTACAACTGAGTGAAACTATTGCATCAGAAATGGATGAGTTTTACTCAAATCCGAGCTACTGCTATCAATTGAGCGACTTTTGACTCTAGTCTGAGTATATAAAACCAATTTAGAGTTGATTTTTTCTCTGATATGATTTAAATTGAACTATTATTGAGTCATTTTTTACTCAGATTTGGTTATTAATTAAATTTGACTAAATATTGAGTGCAAAAATAAATTACTCATAAATGATTAAGTAGGATATACAGTGTTGAAATTCATTCACTTCGCGGGGCCTTCCTCCTGTCATGGCTGAGACCCGCCGCCGCCGGCTAAGGCTTGTTCTCCTGGCGATCACACTTTTCTGGAACATCTAACGGGCCCCTATCAACTGTGGTCGAGATTACAGAAGCAATATGTAAGTGGTGCCATCTTCATGGGGCCAATTACTCGAAATTAATATACATTTAATCTCACTCAGTAATGAGGACATTTACTCTGATTTAGGTACATGTGCACCAAATACGAGTTTAGGTGAAGAATTTATTTAAGGAGTACCTATATTTGAGTGAAAGTACTCAGTTTTAGTTTAAATATAATCACAAACGAGTAAAACGATCAAAATGCCGAATATTGAGTGAAAATGTACTCAATAATTTCACTCAATGGATTCACTTCGAACCTTTATTGCTTTCACTCACACCGATTTTTTTACTGTGTAGTTGTACATTGCTAAGAATTTCGAATATCTCAAAATTCTCTAATTGTAAGTAGTTTATATTTAAATTAATGTAAATAAGTAAAGAAATTTTGGTTATTGCACCTCATGTAATTGCTCTGCTAAATAATCTTACAAATTGAAACAAGTTTTACTTTTTGTGAAATTAAGGACTATTAATCCTTCATATCCTTTATAAAAAGATGTAGCAACTATATTGAATTACTTTAAAAACTAGTTATTAACTAACGCTATATACTTTCCTAAATAATTAAATAACAATTAATTGAGAATGATAACAAAATAATGACTTATTTCAAAAATTCATTAGAACCTACTTATTTCCTTGATTATTTTTACAATTTGTTGTTTTATCTAAGCACATTCTAATACGCTTGTAGTAACCAGTGATATAACTCAATATAGATAGAAAAAATATTTATTTTCACTTTATTGATAAAGGAACGACCTTTGAACAGTATTGTAAGGATATTACCAGGGTATGCCTAATGCTTCGTCCTAATAGGTTGTCCTATTTCATTTGGTTTAGTATAACAGTCAATGTTTCGATTTGAACTTGAACATTTGGCTAAAATAAATTAACAATTCCTTTTTTTTTAAATTACACAAATTATTTAATAATAAATAAAATATTAAATATGTAAAATACCAAAAAAAGATCTACATATCACTAGTAGTGGTGACCAGAATATATGATAATTTTTAATGTTTTATACTCATATTTTATACGTTTCAGCAATATATTCAGATTGCAGTATATCGATAAAAGTTGTTTGTGGTGTTAGATAAAATTATATTAAAATTAGCTGTCATATATATATTACTGTCAAAAATTAACAGCTGTATCAATACATCATGTTCTTCCTAATCAATAGTAACAAACTGTTTCAAACCAAAACACCGGCAATAGCAGTTTTGTTAGAAACTGCCATTTTATTCGGAACTGTAGCAATTTTATTCGAAACTGTGGTAATTTCATTACAAAATTTAGCAAGTTTCATAATTAAAGCTTACTGAAAGAAGTAATTTTCATTTTTTATAAATGCGAACTCAAAAAGGATGTGATTTAAGTTTTTCTTTTGGAAAATGTGGAAAATAGAATACAGTGAGAAAAAGAATGCCTTATACTTATGAACGTTCGATTCGAGAAAACAATTTTTTAATTCATTAGGTCCTTTTTGAGCGCAAAATATTGTATATTATATACCAGGGGACTAAAATTAAAACTTTAATTATGGTAATATACAGAGTGTCCTGGTTAAGCTCTAATCAATGGAGTGTAAAAAAACTGTTTTCAAAAACTATAAAAATAGATTGTTTTGTTGAAGATAAGCAAAATTATAGTTTTTTCGGAAATATGAAAGGCAGAGTTTGATAGAATTACTAATATTTTTACCCAGAAAGAGAAAATTATAACAATTTTTAAAACATATATTTTTTAATTACTTTTTATTTGACTGGCTATTTCTGCCACACCGAAGAGAATTTTTTTGTTATAAGTAATCCTTGTGCCAAGTAGGATCAGTAAAGGGGTTGATTTTATAAATTTACCTAATCAGAAATCACACAATTTGGCCATATAACTTTGATTTAAATCATTGTTTTTAATCATAAAGAACAAAGAACAAAAAGCTAGAGATAATTTCTGTATTAGGCCATTTTTCAAATTACATTTGTACCAATTTTTTACAGTCTCTAGAGGCTAAGTGAAAACATCCACGTTGCGTTTGCAAAATGAAGTGATATAAATAGACACACAATTATGCCAACTACCGCCTTTTGAGCATACCAATTCGTTTCTATGAAAACCAACAACGCAACCGAGATCTAGCGGAAAAACTAAAAACAATTTGTACACAAGCTAATTAAAACAAGCGAGCGCCGCACGTGAGCGACCTTGAACTAGCCGAATAAACCACATAATGCATGTCAATGAGCACCCCGTATCACAACTATAAATATATAAAAAATAATTCCCATGTTTCTTCCACAGATCACAGAATCTTCTGCGAGGGCTGCCGAGATCGAGACACAGTGCGGGCCTTTAGTACAAATGTAGACCCCAAACTGGCAACACTCAGTTCTTGCGTTGTGCTACCCTTCGGCAGCATGCCGGGGCCTAGAGGCCAGCTTTTGTTTACAATGCACACAGTTACAATTCGATAAAGCTCAGTTTAAAAAACAAACAGTGATATAAACGATTCTAGTCATGTCGTGTGGGTACTAACTCGCGATGATGGAAGCAAATTGGCTCTTTGTGACCTTTGTGACGGTGTCCTTCCTCATCGGTGCCGCGGGCAACCTGGCGGCGTTATGGATCCTCTACAAAACCGCCAAGAGGAGAAACAGGAAGCATGTGCTTCTGTTGAGGTGTCTCGCCACGAATGATTTAGTTGCCCAAGTCGGAATGTTACTCTTGAGCAACCTGAAAAAGTACGACCTTTTGCCGGATTACTGGTCATGTATTGGCTTCGTGCTGTTTCGGGCCTTTGGACTGGGTTCGGGGTGTGTAGCGTTTGTTATGGCCCTTGAAAGATGGCTTGCCCTTACTAGGCCCTTCTTCTATCATCAGGTAAGCACAAACGTCTAAAAATTTCGCCAATGCTATTCTCGAAACTGTGGCAATTTTATTCAAAGCTGTGGTAATCTTATTCGAAACTGTAACAATTTTATTCGAAACTGTGGTGAATTTATTCAAAATTGGAGTTTTTTTCGTATTCTAAAGCTTACTGACAAAAGAACTTAAAGACAAACTGACCCACGATTTTATTCGAAACTACAGTAATTTTCATAAAGGAGTTTACTGAAAACCTTTTTTTTATTTAGGTTAGACATGATACATTGTTTTTTTCTTTCAATAAAGTTGTAGGAACACGACTACTTTTGTGGTTCATTTATCATTATTAGTAAACAAAACATTTGTAGTGATAATTTAAATCGATAGTCATTATCAAAACATATTTGTAATGATAAATATTTTGTTAACATACACATTGCTCTCCTAAACAAATAAAAGGCTATGAAGAATAATTATACAGGGTGTCACAAAAATAACGTAACTAATTAACTGTTACTGTACGCACTTGTTGCATAAGTAGTTATTATATAAACGATTTTATTCAAACACTATAATTCTACGTTTGATATAAATTATTTTGTTAACAGGTGCACCAAGGGTTGTAGATCCCTTCCAAACCATTTATAAAAAGGAACATTTTCGTACTTTTACTAATATTATCAGCATTCAAAATTTGTTATACAATTTATAGAGCGTTTGAAGAAAATAAAACATAGAAATTTCACTTATCTTTCATGACTAATAAGTAGTATATATATAAAAACAAACTATAATGGTACAGATTTGTATGACATAATAAGGTTAATGTACTATTTAAAAATAAAATAATTAATAAATGCTTATCTATTACAGAATAAATAACGATAATAAATAAAGTTTGAGCCTGAAGTGGTCAAAATCTTTCACATGTTATTTGCAAGTAATTTTGCTCTATTTATAAAGAAATTAAGCATGTTTCAGTATATTCTACATATATCATCAATATAAGTACTATGAGTAGTTAATAGTTCTGCATTTATTGTTTGTTTATGTTATTTGATATAAAATTGATTGTTTCAGAAGTCAAGTAAAAATAAATGCAGTTCGACACATCACAATAGTGTCGTAAATTTTGATAACAGTGCTACGGTCACAATCTCTAAATTCCCAGAAACTCAGTTTAGGTAGTTCTACTTAGATAAACCCTAGTCAGTGTCTTATCTAAAGGGATCTTAGGAATAAAGCCTTTTTTGCAATACATCAACTGCAGAAGAAAGCATCATTCAATATTTTGCAATTGCAAAATCAACGAAAATACTATTATTATTTCATCAAAAGAAATAAATTTAACACTTAGAACTTCAAAAAGTTGACAGGTGTTAATTTAATTTGTTTATGGTCAGTTTTTTTTACCTAATTTTGAATTTTTTTAAATCGAGCAAATATTCAATGAAAACTTTACTATAAACAAACAAATATTTTAAACAAAATTAATCTACGCAGTTTTGGGCAAATTGTGACTAATAAAGCTTGTACGTCTTAGATATTATCTTAAATGTGGATTGTTTTGAATATATATATTTTTGCCCATGTAAGACAATTAGAAAATTTGCAAACTGGTCTTAATATCTACATATACGCAAACGGTTTACGTTCGCCTATTTTATAAAATTGCAAATTTTGTTACATTTACCCAAATCCGTCTTTAGTGCGTATATTTTTAATTAGGCATGTGCATAGATTTTGTAAGAGATAAATGGGACAGTATTATTTATACATATTTCTTTGGCTACCCGTTTTTGGTACAGAAATACCAAATTAACAAAGTCTACAACTCAAAAGCTTCCAGCATATAAGAACTGGTTTCTGTAAAAGAAAATATATTCTTATCCTTAAATGTAACCGTATATTTCCAGGGGCACAAAACACAATGGGCTTTTTACAGTTTCACTCCACTTTCCAAAAATTTAGTACCTATTATTTGTAGTGTTACTTCAGTTTCGTTTCACAGAGTATTAAAATTATGTTGAGAATAAGAGCATTTCGATTTTTGTTAATTTTTTAACGTCTATGAATAAAAAATACTATTTTTAACATAGTTTTATGTAATTGTTTTTTATGTACTAAAAGTTTAATTAAAACCAAACTTGTACTAAGTGTGTGATTTTTGATAAAAAAAAATTGTGACAAATTGTCACACAGCGTCTGAAAATCACAGACGTTTCAACTGTTTAAAAATATATGCAACACATTTTTTTTAACATTATGAGTAAGTAATGACGTCTTCGTTTTTAGCAATACATATTTATTTTTTATTTAGGCATTATTAACAGGCAATATTCAGTGCACGAAAAACAAGCGAGAATATCTAATAAATATCATTTACAACAAAGAGTATATATTACTATTCATGTTAACTGACAGATATTGAATATTATTTCGATAAAATTATATATTTACACACGATTACATTGTATGATGGTTTCCTGGTGCGTAGAAATAATCGTTTTGTAATGAAATGAACCACATCAAAGCTTAATTAAATAATATACGAGAATAAATTTTTTTTTCTGATATTGTGACGTTCAATTATTTTTCATTTATTTTCGTATATTTATCATAATAACATTATGATATATGTTTTAATTGTTCTTTTTACTATAATGCGTAGAATACTACCTTTTGTAAAAATGGTATAGACTAAGATTTGAAGAAAAAATTGAAGGAACAAAGAATTTCACAAATTTTTAAAGTGCTGTATCTCAGTAAGAAATGGACTTGTCAAGACAAAAAAGAAGCATTTTGAGGCATTAAGTCTCTAGTTTCAAGATCTTTTGGATTCGTCTACACTTTATAATTACAGTAATATACAGGGTGTCCCAGAATAACGTGTACAACGGAAGACCACGGATATTATCACCATACATCAATTTTATAGATGTTGTAAGTTTTAAAAATCACTTTTGTATTACACCAAAATTTGTAGATTGAAAGCAAAAGTCCACACCCCAAAAATAATAAAAATTTATACGTATTCGACTTATTTACAAAATTCAAATAAATTTCACAAACTTTGAGGCCATCTAGTGGCCAAACGAGGCTATTTCGGATATAGGTGAATTAGCCTAAATCTGCCTATTTTGAGTCCACGAATCTGTGATCTTCCGTCGTACACGTTATTCTGGGACATACATACGTTCGCTTTGAACAATAATTTGGTTGATTTACTGACTCTCTGCAATGGATAAACTAAATAGTTTATTAATCAAAAATACCCAGACAAAGGACAATTTTTAAACATTTTTCCTTGCGAAGGGACAATTTTATGATCAGCAAGAAGTTCCTATTTTTACCTCCATGTGAGGGATTCTAAAAGACAAAGTAGCAAACAAAGAACGGATATTATTAATTTATATGACTTAATGGAGAAAATATTGGAGGAAGTTAGTACCATGGATGAAGTGGATAACAGGGCATCCAAAAAAATTGCTTGAAGTATATATCCTTTGTCTAGAATATGATGTAGGTAATATAAAACTCCTTTTATAATACGATACCTTCTCTTAATATAGAATACAAATATTTGTTTAGTGAATTTAAAAACGGGAAACATATCCACACATTGATTCCATGGCAATCTTTTGCATCATCATTTTTAATTGGAAAAAAAAGTATAAAAATAAATTTCAAAAAATGTTTTCTGTATACTAAACCTCTGTAGACTAAATCAGTAGGATAATATTTTTTTTATGTATGAATGTTTTAGAATAAGCACAAATTGAACTGCCTTACTTTGAAACATTCCGAATCAAAATTAGTGTATGCTCAACCATGCAACATTGTCTCTGAAATCATGATGTAACAATGTTTCAAAATGTTGCCGACTCATATTTGTGACATTAATGTTACACTTCCGCTAATAAAGTTTTTGCCATTATGGCGGCCTTGGCTGACACATTATTCCCCTATTAATTCTATTATGGCCTCCCTTTGAATACTAAACGACGATTTAAGCGGTTAGAATAAAAAATTGTATGAGCTACATGGTTTTCTTTCTTATTAGGCGCTGATTATACCGGACTTTTTCTATTCTTGTTAGATGATGCTTCATTGTAAATTCTCGGAACACGCCTTTGAAATACCAATTTCGACCTTTAAATTGTAAAATAAAATATAGGTACATTCTGTGATGTTTCGATCTCATGGTGTGTATCACTTAATAAATACAGGGTGTCCCTTTTATATTAAAAGAAATTGGGGGGGTGGGGGGTGAGTTGCTCTTGAACACACCATTTGGTCCAAATATATCATTTTCGTAGTATTTTGGCCAGTTTTCACCCAAATTCTGGATTTTCTGAGAAATATCGAGGTCATGGGTAAATTTTACTCATGGCATCGTGTTCAGCGCTCCAAAATACTAGGAAAGTGATATATTTGGACAAAATTTAGGAAAAAGTTAGTTTTAACCCATATTTTTGGCCAGTTTTCACCCAAATAGTGGATTTTCTGAGAAATATCGAGGCCACGGGCAAATTTTACTAATGGCATCGTGTTCAGAGCCTCAAAATACTATGAAAATGGTATATTTGGACATAATTTAGGGAAAAATAAGTTTTGACCCATATTTTTGGACAGTTTTCACCCAAATAGTGGATTTTTTGAGAAAAATCTATTCCATGGGCAAATTTTACTAGTGCCATCGTGTTCCTCATCGTGAGCCTCAAAATACTACGAAAATGGTATATTTGGACAAAATTTAGGAAAAAATCAGTTTTGACCCATATTTTTGGCCAGTTTTCACCCAAATAGTGGATTATATGGACAAATTTTACTAATGGCACCGTGTTCAGAGCCTCAAAATATTACGAAAATTTTATATTTAGGCAAAATTTAGAGAAAAACAAGTTTTGACTCATATTTCAATCAATAATATTAACAATGTAATTGTAACGAGAGACGAAGTATTAAATACTTTAATTGAACTGGACGAAAACAAAGGGGCTGGACCTGACGGT